ACATCACAAACAATTGCCCTTCACAGTGCCCCAGAGCCTAAGGCGATATCTTCAGATGTTTTCTGTCTGACCACCAGTCCAATTTTCAGTTTACAACAGTATTAAATAGAGGAAAGCAGCAAAACTTCACATATGAGAAGCTTTAATAACGCAATAATTATCAAAACATAGATTAATTTTCTGTTTATTCGACTGATTTAATATTCGCCTAATCAATTCAGGTCAACTTGCGATATAAATTGTAGTACACAGACATTATGCTACACATGTACGTTGTGTCATTTTGAGTCGAGTTAGTTTGCCAACTAAGGATTTTGTTTGTTGTGTTGCAGAACCATGAGTTCCCAGGTGAGACAGAACTACCACCAGGACTGCGAGGCTGCAATCAACAGGCAGATCAACCTGGAGCTGTACGCCTCCTACGTCTACCTGTCAATGGTGAGAGTCCCATAGATTTATAGAATAAAATGGTTGGGCAGTAATCAAAGATGATTGGGAAAATCCGGAGTGGAACAGATGACAATAGTATATCGTGTTAGCATAAGGGGAACTGTGTGTACTCGTGATACTGGTGCCATTTATTATCAAGAAGTGGTTTTAATTCCTTTAAATCAGACTGTGCTGTGGTTATGTGACTGCTGAGCTGAGCAGGTTAGAATGGTGGGTGATGGTAGTCAGACAGCCACTATCAGCAGCCATTCCTTTTTTAAACATTAGCATGTTAGACATGAGCTTTTAGGTGTTTGAACCAAGGTGGCATGAATGTCATGTGGCAGAGTTATAAAGCAAAGGTTGAAGTTCCCTGTGAGATTACCCTGTGTACAGAGAGGGGGCAGGGAGTGCATCACCTGACCTTAAAAATGTGTTTCACGCTAAGCACAGCTTTCACCTATCAGTCCAAAACACAACTGCGTATATGAAAGGGTTTCTACATCTTATGTATGTTATATTTTTATTTTTAAACATTCTCTCTGTCTGCTTTTTTCCCAGAGAGAATAGTTCAATGAATATACATGTTTGTTTAGTTGAGATGCTTTTGAAAGTTTATTTGCCATGCCTCTGCGAACTCTGCGTTACTGATTTACAAAGAACAAGTAATGAACATTTGCTTTTTTTAACAATCGTAGCAGTAGTAGTGTGACCTATATTAAGATATCTCAGAAGCCAGGTGTTTGCTTGTTAGGTTTCAGCTACCTCTCAGGATTTATTTTGCTTTGCCTAAAGCTTTCCAGTTTTTAAAACATCGCCATTCCCCTCTTTCCTCCTCACAGGGATACTACTTTGACCGGGATGACCAGGCATTGCACAACTTTGCCAAGTTCTTCCGCCATCAGTCGCACGAGGAGCGCGAGCATGCTGAGAAGCTGATGAAACTGCAGAACCAGAGGGGGGGAAGGATTTTCCTACAAGACGTCAAGGTACGAGCTCATATTGGGTCATTTGTGTTTATGTGATAGTAAATTTGTTTCACGTGTGTTTTAACATGTACACTGGCTGTGAAATTTCGAGCTCTGAGCTATCACATGACTGATATAGGATGGGCACCATAAGATACAAAGGGCGTGCGAATGCTGCGCCACTTATCTCTCCCTGACACACAGACACAACCCGTTAAACGTTAAACTGCAAACCTACTTTGAAATAATCAGAAGGCTCGCAGCAGTCTGGGTCAGGTCGTTGGCCTCCTGCCTCGCATTAATGAGTGTCTCACTGTTGTCCTGACCTGCTTCGTTCTTTGCAGAAACCAGAGAGGGATGAGTGGGGCAGTGGTGTTGAGGCGCTTGAATGTGCCCTGCAGCTGGAGAAGAGCGTGAACCAGTCACTGCTGGACTTGCACAAGCTCTGCTCTGAACACAACGACCCACATGTGAGTATTAAATTGCGTCTTGATGGTTGTACAGCAAAGCACCGTGAAATTTTAGAGAACATCAATCCCAAATTCTCATCAGTGAAATAAATATCAAGTATTTTAATAGGTGCATTAGCCAATTCAGGTACCGATGCAGTTAGCTCTTGCAGACATAGATCTGAGCACAAGCACGTAAGACATACATATTGGTTGAACACCTGTACTTTAGAGATTTGTTTGTTGCAGTTAGCTGCAAATTCTGCAGGTTTCCTTTTCATGTTTTTTCAAGATGTGAAAACATCTGTCAGACTTTGATGTGGCCTTTATGGGATTTACACAGTACAGCCGAGGTGTTTTACAGAAAATGTGCTGTGCAGCAGATTGCTGACCTGCCATTTTGTTTTTAATTAATACTCAATATGAGCTTTTTTTTCAAATGCAGTGGGTTTGAGTGTTGTTTTGCATCCGTTTAGCGAGTAATAGCGAGTTAAGTATCAGTTCCTGATTTGCTCGTGTTTATTTTACAGTACTTCAACAGGTGAATGAAAAGGAAGTCAAGTCAGACAATTCTAGTATTTCAGGCTTTCTTTTAGCGGTGAGTGAGTTTCAGCTCTAATCTGATTTAACTCTCTGTCTCTCAGTTGTGCGATTTCATCGAGACACACTACCTGGACGAGCAGGTGAAGTCCATCAAAGAGCTGGCAGACTGGGTGACCAACCTGCGCCACATGGGAGCCCCTCAGAACGGCTTGGCCGAGTACCTGTTCGACAAACACACCATGGGCAAAGAAAGCAGCTAAATCCGTCCGGATCACATTTCCTAAAGCTTTCTATATATGTATATTTGTATCTTGCTTTCAAATGTTTTCCAAATATCAAGCCATCTGCATGGTACTGGCTCGACATTTAAACCTATATTACTCATGTGGTTATTGCCATTCCCTCCACATCATAGCTCAATAGTCCCCTGATCCCAGAGCTGTGAGCTATTCCACTCAAAGCCCACTCTTGTATCTTGCACTTCTCTGTCTACTGTCAGCTATGCCTACATCATAACTATGTACTTGCTGTTTTATGCCAGTAGCTGTTAATCAAACCCAATAAAACAAACCCTCTGGATTCTGATCCGTCTCAATTTTTTAATGTTGTCACAGTGGTTTGAGTTAAGCTCTGTATATGAAAAACATGAAACCTACCCACTGATGAAAGTGGGTAAAAATTGTTGATACTAATTTCACTTCCACTTCCAGAGAAAACAAAACCAGACAGTCAGGTGAGTAAAATTTCAGTGGGCAAAGTTAGAACTCCTCTATTGAGCCTTAAAATGTAGGATCAGCTATTGTATTTAAACCAATAGACAGCAAAACGTTCTGGTAGTTGAAGGAAACTCCAGAGACAGGTCATCGAGAAAATAACAAATGTTTACCTGAATGTGGAGACTGTAATTACTGTTTTCCTCCGAGCCTGTGGGCTCTGGAAAATACACACCAAACGTCCAAAATAAGCAGCTTGAGGTGAAACTAATTATGATCATCTGCAGTTTGTGTCTTAAGGCATTAGCAGATTGTCACTGGGCTCTTTTGTGCCAGTACTTCAAAATGTTTACTGACATCAATTGTACCTGTTTACATATTAACTGCATATTGTGTACACTTTATTGTTGGAACAATGTTTATGATGCCCTCTTGGTCAGGTTGGTCTTGAAAAAGAAATCTTTATCTTGTTTTATTTGGTTAAATGAATAGATAAATAAATACGTTTACCGGTATATAAGAATTACAATATGTAAGTTGATTGTTTGGACAATCTAGAGGGATTATAAAAAAGTCGCGTAATCAGGGGATTTCCAACTCAGAAACCCAACTTTTTGACAGGAAGTGTAAAAAAATATTCGTGCATAGACGTGCGTCACCATGAGTTCCCCTCTTATGTAATCATCAGACATCTGTTTTCTTGTAGGGATTCAGACTGTTGGTGCCTGTTGTTGGTGACCGTGTCACTCCCTCTAGTGGTGAAGTAGAATTAACAACCAACAACACTGATAGCAAAACTGTTAGAATGTGTTTTGACATGGTTTTAAAAAGTACATGATCAACACTTGATTTTTAAAAACAAAAAGCAACACAAATTTTATATGCCAAGAAAATGTGTCTTTATGTTGAGTGAATGTCATCTGTGTTACACATGATTTGGGAATTTTGGCAAACTTCTCTGTAAAACTAAAGTATGTTGGGTTTTACCTGAAAGACAGATGTTTTTAATATTTAATACCCTTTCACGGTCAAAAATTGTGCCAAGAGAAGTACAAAGATAACATAAATGTAGCCCAGGGAGACTCCGTTTGCTTTGCCCGGGGACCACTTTTGCAAAATGACAGTTGGCCCGGAGCCAGACGCAGCAGCCCCGCACAGGTCAGGTGTATGCAGGGGTGTTTCTAGGAATTGAGGTCATTCAGTGCTCAGACAAAACCTCTGTCAGGGGTCTAGGGGATCCTCTCCTGGCACTAAAACAAATCCCAGTGTGCATTAATTTATTTTCATGGTGAAATACAAAATGGTTGGGGGACCACCTGGCACCCTATTGGGCCCTAGAGTATTACTGACGTAGCACCCTTTTTTTTTGGAATCAGCAATAATATAGTGGAATTAAAATAGCTTGAAAATACCACAAAAAAATAAACAGTATCAGTCATCGGTGGTTACTGTGTGCATTTGTCTTGCTGTATGTTGCTACAGGATAAAGGAGAGAAGACAAGTCGGTGGTAAATGGACTGCACTTCTGTACACTCAAAGCACTTTTACACTACGTCACATTCAACAACTGGTGGCCGAGGTTACCACACATGGTGCCACCTTCTACTCAGTAAGCATTCACACACCAATGGAACAGCCATCAGGAGCAATGTGAGGTTCAGCCTCTCGCCCAGCACACACTTGACACTTCTTGAACACCACACTATAATTTATTCCCAACACAACAGGAAAGTCAAGAGCAGATCTGGAGGAACAACTCTGAGGCACATTTCAAAATGAGAAGATCAAAAACCTAAATGCTGTGAAGACAAATATTACAAAATCAACATTTGTTTTCAAACTGTGGAATATATAAATGTGAATTAACAGCTCCCACAATCGGTGTCAGACTGAGGTGTTCACGCTTCTTCAAGCTCCACCAGCACACCGTCACAGTCTTTAGGATGAAGGAACATCACTGGTTTCCCATGAGCACCTATCCGAGGCTCTGCTGACAGAGTTCTGATGTTCTTTGCTTTCAGGTCAGCTATGGCAGCGTTTATGTCGTCCACCTGCAACCAGGAGGAAAACTGTTAATCTTTTTATAACTTCAGTCAGTCTGATATACAGGCCAGTCGTCACATTTGACAGTTTAAGTAGTCTGACAATAATTTGAGCTTTGGCACAAACACATAACCCCACTTTTTTGTGTGTGTGCTGAGTGGGACATTTTACAGTTCACATATATAAAACATGTCAGTGCTCTCTGTGCCTGGCTGCCAGTGTCTAATACAGTTTAAGGTCATGCACAGAGCCCATTTGTCTAAAGTAAGGCTGTCACGTATTTATCCAGATGTGAACCTCAGTTGTGACAAATGTTCAAGAGGTGAGGCGTCTTTTATTCACATGTATTAGACATGGCCGAGCCTTGAAACAACCTTATCCTCAATCCTTAGCTTTGACCTGCAACCCAATCCTCTGGTCGCCCTCTTTGGCACCACCAGAGAGGATGATGTACACCTGACTCCAATCCAACGCCGTACACTGTCTTTTGCCTTTCTGCGGCCAGACAGGCGGTTCTAATCAGATGGAGGGATGCTGCCCCGCCCACCCCTGCACAGTGGCTGAGGGACATTATGTTCTGCTTTAATCTTGATAAGATGCGCTACTCAGTTTGTAAGTCAGATAAAAAAATTCTAAAAGATTAGGGGCCTCTTTCTGAAATACTTCCAGAGCTGTCACTTTAACTGAAGGTTTTGTGTTTGTCTCTTGTTTCTGCTGTTTCCTGTCAGTGTGTATGACCCCACTATTCTGAACCTGCCTTTTACACAGGCATCCCTCCCCCTCTCTTTAAATATTGGACCTGACTTTCAGCTCATCTGTCTTTTTTTTTTTACTATTCAGAAGAGGGAGAACTGTCCTATCGACGATATTCTGTGAATATAAAAAATACACTATAACATGACAAATATGAACCATATAGCTGCTTAAGAATGACAAAGCTGCACAGTCTTGTGCAGGGTGTGTAAAAATATCAAACAGGCAAAATACAAAAGTTCAACATATAGTGAATAATATATATGTATAGTGTCTTAGTCTTCTACTAAAAGATAAAAGCAGGAATTCAGTGTCCTAAAAGAGATTTGGGATGAAGTGGGACAGGATGTCTGTTGTATATATGTTTCTTTTTTGTAACATTAGACCATTTTCTTGACTGACTTTTCTACTCAAACAAAGGTGAGACAAATAATGAATTAATAATGGATACACTCCACTCAGGTGTGTCAGTGTCATCAGAGCCCTGGTGTTGGCCTTGTCCAACAGTGGTCCAAGGTCCAGGATTTAGCGGCCTCTTGTGGTGAGCTTCTCCTGTGTGCCAAGTGTTTAGGAGAACCATGGTGTGTGATGCAAAAAAGCAAACACCCCTGTCTGGAGTTAATGGTTGTTTGTCCATTCTGGGCTACAGCAGAACAACATGGCGGACTCCGTGGGAGACGACCCACCACAAATGTAGGTATAAACTGCTTATTCTGTTATTCCTTTCCCACCAAAATTAGTTTGTGTATGTGGGTTTTTTCAATGTGGGTAGACCAGAGCCGTGAACGCTGGCTTTGCAGAAGAGGAGTATGCCTTTGTGGGGTTTTTTTTCCTGGTGTGTCATGTACGGCGTCACATACTGACAAAAAACAGGTTAGTAAACAATAGAAAGCAGCATTGAGGCCAGTGAAACATGGAGACAGACGGAATTTTGTGGTGGCCTGTCACTGCATCACTCTGCCAATGGCGCTAAAATTAGCACATCTACCAAGGTGTTGTATTCACATTACTGCCAATCCAAGCTGGTTGGGGCTGGAGCCGATAAACACCTGTAGCTACAGTTGTCCAGAGAATGAATGCCGATTGTAACCTTTTACATTAAATACAAAAGCCAGGTGTTAGTGGGTGTTAATGGGTTTATTTTATCCAGCAGGAAAGGGGCTTAAGGTGACAAAAACAAAACGATATGTACCATTTCTGCCAATAGATCCTACATACAGGACCTTTATTACTATTATTTTGTAAATCATAGGTGTGTAGGATAAAATTCTTACTGTATTAACACATTATGTTTTGTTTTCAGGGTCCTGGTATTATCTGTCACACTGCCATTGCTTACTGATGACAGAAAGAGCCATTAATAATCTAACACCCATGATTTTCCATGTAAGAAAAGTCAAAATGTCTGCTGTGAAAAACTCTACTGCGCACGCTGGGTCACTTACACACAGCTGATACAACAGAGCCTGTTTTAATGCCATTAGTTACACTTGTGCTTATTCTGTTACAACCGATAGCAGTGTTTGCAGTGAGAAGGTTCTACTCAAGCTTATCTAAGGGTTAAAGTCCGACACAATGCTGAGTGTAAACCCTGTGACACAATATCAGTGCCACCTCACCTCAATACAAATGTGATGCATCCCTCCGGACTTGTTCTTCTGTAGGAATCCAGCGATCGGGCTCTTCTCCCCCAGAGGATGGAGCAGCTCCAGTTTAGTGTTGCCGAGCTCCACAAACACCGTGTAGACGCCGTGCTCAGGCAGGGGCACCTTATCACTCACTGTGGCCCCCAGCACGTCCCGATACAGAGCCGTGGCCTTCTCCATGTCGGGGACAGCGATGGCAATGTGGTTCAGCCTCCCCAGCTTCCACACTGACCCAGGGACACCCTGCCAGAGGGGCGCTGTCGTTGAATGGGCCCTCATGAGTGTTAGACGAGAACATCTGGAGAGACCTGCCACTGAATGAACACATTAAAATTTGGTGAGCTTAGTTATAGAAAATATGTTAGAACATTAGTCCCACAGGTTCCTTCTCTTTTCCCTTCAAGTAGCTCCAAGGTTGCAGACATGGGCACAAATACATCAAAAAGTATCCTGTTACAAATACTTGCTCATCAAATGTATCAAATGAAATACCAAACACTGACAGAGAGCAAATGTATTTAATCAAAATACGAGTAATTTGTGATCTGAAAATACAAAAACACATCCTTTACAAAGGGATTTTATCACATTTCAGGCATTTAGTAGCCTAAATATGGGTCTGCCCTTAACCTCCGACACTGAAAAGATAAGCTCTGCTACTTTCCCACATCATAGATTTAAAGTGGCCAAACAGGATGTCTTGGAGGTGTGAGGATGCAACTTCGGGAATGCATGCTCAGGGCCGGGCAAGCTTCTAGACCAAACAGTACATGCCACTTGATCCACTTGCATGTTGCCAAAGACTATGATTATGCTAACTGTTGAACTTAGGGATGCACGATAACAGGGGAGCGTCATTGTATCGGCCGATATTGGCTTTATTGCTCAAGGGCACCTCTGCAGTGCCCAGGAGCCAGCCACCAGTCCACGCTCCATATCTGGTCCGAACGGGGACTTGAACAAGTGACCCTCCGGTTCCCAACCCAAGTCCCTATGGACTACTGCCGCATACACTGAAAGGTATTTTATTTCATGTCTCCATCTGCTGGTGGGCCATGATGATGAAAGTATGCATGCATAATATGATGTTAATTCCACTACAGAAGAGACTTGATCAGTAAAATTAGGTGGGAAAAAAGCAGATATATTGATATTGGTATCAGTTATTATCGGTCAAATGAGATGTTACATATTGGCATATTGGATATCTGCAAAAAAAATCCAATATTGTGCATCCCTAGCTGTACTGTTTTTTTTCCACTATTAAAACCTGGGGATAAAAAATTATTTATTTATCTTTTTAAATTTAATTTTATTTCAGAGTAAAATGACACTAAATAATGTATTTTCAGTATTTCAAATACACAAACACAAGCTTATAAAATATTTTGTTACAAATCACCTCTCCCTTTTTTTCTGTCCAGCAGATACAAATCACAGAATACTCTAAAGTAATCAAATAAATATTTTTAAATAAATTCAACTGAAATACTGCCCATCTCTGCAATGTTGGAAATATCTTTTTACTCCACACTTTCTGACAATGTCACATACACAGTATATTCTAGCTTGTTCCAATTCTTTATTTAGGCTGTGTGTTGTATGTTCACAGATAAAGACATGTTTTTATGGTTGTGCATAAAGAAATAAAATGCAAATGTAATTTTATTTTCATGGCTGCACTCTATTTAATTGAAATATTATAGATGTATTGTGCACCGTTTTACACACATTGTTCCCTCAAATTCAGCCTGACATTTGGTGTCTTTGGAGTCTTGAGTAGGTTTTAAAACAAGGGTCTGTGGGTTTGAACAATGTTTGGCTGCACAGCATTTAATGACACAGTAGCTTATGTTAAAACACATCTGAGTATTTGGAAAAGTACAGCAATGGCATTTTGTCAAAAGTTTAAGTTTTAAAGTCATGGGGAGTTCAGTTTATCATTTCAGATGAGAGTTGAAGTAAACATTACAATGGTCAATCTTCAGACAGAAACCACACGAACACGAAAAGTACAATGTGCCTTAAAGCAACAACACAACAAACCCATGATGTGACGTTAACATGTTGTTTAACAGTGACGCAGCTAATGTTCAACATCGCTGCAGTGTTGTTAAAGCCTATTCAATAAATCAGAGGACGACCTTGCTAACAAACGCACGTAGTAGTAGTAGTTAAATAATTATTGACACAAACCAACCTGCAACCTTCAGCGCGGCGGACGCCATGTTTGTACCTCGGAACCAAAGCAGCGGCGGAACAGTTCCTCGGAGAGCCTGTTTACCTGCGACACACACGGTCACACATGTGAGTGCAACGATGGCTAGTGGAGATGTGTGGAGCGTGCTGGAGGAGTGTGTAAAGACAATAAATACAAACACATCACAGCCAGAGAACTTTCTGAGGCAAGTGTTTGCTGTCTGCATGTTTGTGCTTTATTGACAAAGCTGTTAAATGTTGTTTACGCGTGTTTGAAGAGGTTTAGCTAGCTAACCGTTAGCTAATGCTAACTGCGTGCACTTCTAGCGTTAGCACCGAGTTTCTTTACATAAGTAGCAAGCTGTCACAGTCGACCTCTTGGATACAGAAGAGTTTGGGAGGGTTTTTATTTCTTTACAAAGTCGCTGTTTTCATGTTGTGGTAACTACATGTCTTCAAACGGATGACTTGTGTATCCTTTATCAATGGGGACCACAACATCCACACAGAGTTCCACTAGCCTGCATCTACACTTCCTGTCTGTTAGTTTACTACACTTTAAACAGTGCCAATGTGACTGAAGTCAGCAGCTAACCTTACTGCTTTGACACAGCTGTGTTTAGAAACAACCAGTGTAATATAATCAAATGCTGCATGTGATAGGGATGATGTGAGTGTGACACACGACATTTTGCAAGACAACTAACAAAGTATAAGTGTAACTAAAGAGCAAAAACACTTAATGGCAAAATGCTTCGTATGATGCAGGGCTTGAGGAGTCATATTCTTAATTTATTCACTAACTTCATACTCATCCAGTGTCACAAAACCTTATGGATAATTCAGATGTAACAATGTAATGTGGGGCAAAACACACACTGCAGCATGTGTGTGTGCCTGGCCTCAAATAGATTTAAACTAGCAGTGCACAAACCTGATAGAACTTGTAAATTGGTGGTTTAGCCACCCAGATTCTGACGCAGTTTGTCTGTCAATCATTATAATAATCTAAAGACGTCTAAAGATGATGTCTGGTCAACTTTGTAATTAAACATAGACTATTTGCAGTGTGAAATGGCACCTGCAAGTCTTTATTTATCATTTATATCAGTGGTTTTTAAACTTTTTGTGCCCAAGCCACAACAAAGAGCAAGCCAAATTCTCAAGGCACATCCGTATTTATATCTGTGCACAGTAGCCTCTATAACATGTGATATCACTTTTATCACGACGTAAATGTTTGTTTTTATTTACTAATGTCAAATATCAATTGACAACCAACCATTAATGATTGAATATTTATCAACAAAATGATTCAAGAATTCATTTTAAACTTTTTAAAATTACATCAAAGCACCAATAACACATTAATTTAAACAGGAAATAATGTCAGATAATGTAAGATGTCACACACTTATAATTCCCTCGCGTAAACTGTGAGGAATAGGTTCCCCTTATTTTATTTATTTATTTTTTTTTTTTTTAATGAAATGAAATCAGATTACATTTTTTAAGGTAGTGTTTACCTCTTTGTTAGGACATGGGTGTGCACAACATACTGATATATTCAGTTAAAAATTCAGTTGCAATAATAATGTGTGGTTATGACAAAATCCCACGGCAAACCATGTGAGAACCACTGATTTCTATAATGTGTTAGTGGAGGTGGCCTTCATTTCAGGTGAGGTAGCTGACCCTGCAGTAAGCTGTTGCAGGAAAAACCCAGTCTCTTAGAGAAATCTTAAAATACCAACTTGTTCTTGAAAAAAAGACACAGTCCTCCATACTCCATAATTCCAGTGCCCAATGCCCACAGTAATTCTTGGTGCCAAGTGTATCACAGATGACTGCATTACATTATATTGTTGTGATGAGTACTTGTTAAAATCCAAGCATTGACAATTGCCAGCCACACACTCTCAACTCCATGGCTTTTAACACAACATCAGACTTATACTGATTGTGTGTTTTCACCTTCTCAGCCTTCAAGATGGAGTGGCAGCAGACTTCACCTCTCTCACTAAGACCCTGTATGACCTCCACAAAGCCGAGGAGCCTGCAGATTACAAAGGCAGCCCGCTGGCTCAGCTGGTGGTGGAAAACTTTGATGAAGAGCAAATCTGGCAGGAGCTGGAGCTGCAGAACAATGCCATACTGAAACACTTAAAAAATGCAGCTGATGAGGCTTTGTCAGATGAGACGTTAACATTGCTGGCAGAGGAGGAGGAAGATGTAGAGACTGATGATGAAGAAGAAGAAGAAGAAGAAGAAGAGGAGGAGGAGGAGGAACCACCCAGACAGTCTAAGAAAATGGCTGTGGAGGCTGAGGACGGGGCAGAGGATTACACCGATGAGGACTCTGATTTAGATTTTGATGTGGATGCTCTGGAGAAGCGAGAGAAACAGAAGAAGGAGACTGGGAGGAAAGGCTCCAAAACAAAAGTGGTTCCCTCTGAGGTTGATGACAAGTTCTTCAAACTGTCAGAGATGGAGTCATTTCTTGATAATATGGACAAGCGAGAGGGGAAGGAGGGCGAGAACGAAGATGAACTAGACTATTTTCAGGACCTGCCCTCCGATGAGGACGATGAACTCGACTTAGAAGAAATGCTTGCTACCAAAAAGAAACAGAAGAACACTGTATGTATTTTATAACCTATTCCCACCTGTTTTTCTGTCCTGATGGTGCAGAATATTGATTATTGTTTATATTGACAGGCAAAGAGCTCCAGGAATCTCAAGTACAAGGACTTCTTCGATGCTGTGGATAGCGAACCAGCTAAACCAGATGACCAGTCAGATGGCGAGGATGACAGCATGGATGGAAGCCGGGAAGAAGGTGAAGAAGAGATAGATGACGAGGAAGATGACTATGATGGTGAAGAGGAGGGTGACGATGAGTAAGTGTGATTAAAATTACGTAATGCATATTAATATGTGTGGGAGAAGCCCGTATGGTTAAGTCCAGCATGTTGGTGTGTACCTGTTGCCAGGGAGGACGAGAGGACTCAGTCCAAAGCATCTCATAAGAAAGTCACCTTTAACCTCTCTGGGGACGAGGACAGCGAGGGAGAGGACATGGAGGAGATCTTTGGAGGAAAAGCGCAGAGCTCAGCAAAGTCTGAATCAAAGTCATCATTTGAGAAACGGCAAGAAAAGGTAATCAGTGGGTGTGTTTTACACCAACTGTAGACCATCAGTGTGTTGATATAATAGTGCTGCTTGGCTTCTGTTCCTCTTTAATGCCTCAGCTTTTAATTTAGTCTTAACCAGATGCAGCCGTACAAGAACAATAACTGAACGGGCACAAACTTGCAATAGCTGCAACCAAGTACGTGCATACATTTACATGTAGCCCCTTTTTGCCAGTTAGCATGAACACAAATACAAAACACTGCAGCTGCTGAAAGGTTTGGGGAATTGACCCCAAAAGATACATTATTGATATTATTTATAAGTGTTTGTGAAGCATTTACTAGATCAAAATGTATTCTTTCTCATGGCTAACTGAACATTGAACCTATAAGGAGAGTGCTGGTCAAATTATGATCATGGCTGCACCTGAGATTTTAACCACGTTTGCCCTGGTTGCACAACTTGAGGAAAATACTTTTCATAGAATGATGTGACATAAGAAGACTCTCCTCATCTATCCATCGATTTTAAACCACCTATGTGGGGCCAGGTCGCAGGGGCAGCAGGCTGAGCAAAGCACTCCAGACATCCCTCTCCTCGGCATTGCTCTCCAGCTCCTACTGGGGTGATCTCATGGCGTTCCAAGGCCAGATGAGGTACATAATCCCTCCAGTGTGTTCTGGTTCTGCCCCGGGGCCTCCCACCAGTGGGACGTGCCCACAACACCTCTAACAGGAGGCGCCCAGGAGGCATCCTGATAAGATGCCGAACCGCATCAACTGACCCCTTTTGAGGCAAGGGAGCAGCAGCTTTCTACTGAGCTCCTTCAGGATGCCTGAGCCCCTCACCATATTTCTAAGGCTGAGACCAGCTGCCCGTTTGGCCGCTTGTATCTGCAATCTCATTCTTTCGGTCACCACACAGAGCTTATGACCATAGGTGAGGGTTGGGACGTAGATGGACCAGTAAATTAAAAGCTTTGACTTCTGGCTCAGCTCCCTCTTCACCACAACAGTCTGGTGCAGTGCCCATATCAGTGCAGACGCTGCACCAAACAGCCGATCCATCTCACGCTCTATTCTACCCTCACTCATGAATTAGACCCAGACATACTTAAAAACGTTGCCTAGTTTATTAAACTAATATGTGTAGTAGATGATGATTGAGATAGTAAATTACAGTGATGTTAGAGAGCAGTACAAGATACACACTTCTTTCTCTCTCCGCTGCAGCCTTTATGTTAATGTGGGCGCATTAAATTCAGACAACACTGCCGCATTCAGTATACTATATACTATTAGTAGGTTAGGTCTATTAAGATTTCTGTTGTGACTTTTACATAAAAATGATCAGGAATCAACCTATTAAATTGCCATCAGATTAACATAAAGGTGTGCTTGTCTGAAAGGACCTGAGAATCCTTCACATTCACCGATCTGGACCTCCTGGACTGTGTTTCATGTCTCACCAGTACCTATCTAATGCTGATTAACATATCCTACTATTGTTTTAACCTGCAGATGTCAGAGAAGATTGAGGAGCTGGAGAAAGCTGCTCTTGCAGCGAAGCCCTGGCAGTTGTCAGGAGAGGTGACAGCACAGACTCGCCCAGAGAACAGCATGCTGGAGGAAGATGTGGATTTTGAGCAGACGTCCAGGATGGGTGAGTGACTCTCCTTCTTTTGTGGGTAGCATTCTCATGTTGGCAGATGACTGAATGTTATTTCATATTAATACGATTATTTAGTAGTAGTTTAATGATTTTGGTTGTTTAATTACAGCTATTAAAATGTCTGTGTGCTATTTCAAATCAGACATCAAGATTTTATATTTGCTTTTTCAGCCCCTAGTGTCACAGAGGAAACCACACTACAGCTTGAAGACATCATCAAACAGAGAATTAAAGACCAGGTTAGTCACAGTAACTTGTGTCTTTATATTGTCTGAAAGACATATAGGGTGTTCTTTTTTTGTTGCCTGATTTTAACGCAGTACCTTTGACCTGTGTTTCTGTAAGGCGTTTGACGACGTGGTCCGAAAGGAGAAACCCAAAGAGGAGGTGTTTGAGTACAAGAAGAGGCTAACACTGGACCATGAGAAGAGCAAGCAGAGCCTCGCGGAAATCTATGAGCAGGAATACCTCAAGCAGAATCAGGTTTGACTTTTATCTTGTTTCCACTGCTTCTCCAGCACATATGAACCCGTGCTGCATCCATCCCTTTGTTCCTGATTTCAGACAAAGACGGAAGAGGAGGAGAACCCAGCTCATGTAGAAATTCAGAAGCTTATGGACACACTCTTCCTGAAGTTGGATGCTCTCTCTAACTTCCACTTCACACCTAAACCAGTAAGTTTTGCCTTCTGTAAAGCACTGACAGAGAGTTGCCAGATATGCTTAAAATATTGAGACTGACTGTTTTTTTGAAAGCATTTGAAAGATAGTGTAGTTAATATATAACATGCCATCCACTCAAAAAAGATGTCTGTAAATAGAGACGATGGATAAAATAGAATAGAAACAACCTGCACTCATGTTGTCATTGATCCACAGCCTGTTCCTGAAGTCAAAGTGGTATCTAACATGCCGTCCATCACAATGGAGGAGGTGGCTCCAGTCAGCGCTAGTGATGCTACGCTGCTCGCACCAGAAGAAATCAAGGTTTGTCATTAATTAATTTTTCAAACATTTATTTTGATTTTGTTATATTTAGAAACAGTACATGTCTAACAATACTCTTCTTTAACTGAAGGAGAAGAACAAAGCGGGAGATATTCTGGGTGACACTGAGAAGACGTCAACAGACAAGAAGCGTGAGAGGCGGCACAAGAAGACGGTGAAGCGTCTAAAGATCAAGGAGAAAGAAAAGAGACAGAAACTCAAAGAGGCCAGTAAAACTGGGGAGAACAAAAAGCAATCAAAGGCTGAAGTCGCAGAAAACCTGAAGAAACTCGCTAAAGGAGGCAAAGCAACGATACTAAAGGTGAGTGTTTTAGGGAATCAGTGTCTTTTAGGGAATCAGTGTGGCCTGTCCAGAGTTCCCAGTTCAGGGTTCCCATGGGTCCTTGAAATCTTCGAATGTTTGTGGATTTAGGGGCACAAATAACAAATTGAAAGTGCTTGAATTATGTATCTTGTGAAAGAATAGAATTGTCCCTTTTATTTGAGTAAGAATATGAATGCAAGACTTTTACTTTTAACTGAGTACTTTTACCTTACATTGTTACTTTTCCTTCTGTGTTAGTTGCATGTGTCTGCTTTCACTGCCTACACATGTCACACCTTTAAATGCCAAAAATAACCTTTATATGAATTTTTAGATGATCCCTTATTGCCGTGATGGCTCATTTGAATTGGTGCTCTCTGTTTCAGGACGAAGGGAAGGACAAGGCTCTGCGGTCCTCTCAAGCCTTCTTCTCTGAGCTGCAGGACCAGGTAAAGAGTCAGATCAAAGGTGTAAAGGACCAGTCTTCAAAGAAGAAGAAACACAGAGAGGTTTCTGTGAGCAAACTCAAGTTATAGTAACTGTGATGGTTTGTCGTAGAAGATCGACTTTTTATTGTACAGATTCTTTTTTATGAGAAAGCTGATATATATTAAACCTGAAAGTCCGTGTTAGATGTGTCCATTTTCACCGAAATAAATCAAGTGCCCAGATGCGTTTGTGTTTGTTTGGCTTTTTCAATTGTAATAAATGTTCATTCACATGAAAATATCAGAGCTTTTTTTTGTGGAAACATGAATGTACAGTGTCTGTGTGAAGATCAACAGTTCATAACACTGGTGGTATTTTTTTTCTCATTCAAAAATATTGAATTTACTCACACCTTGCAAAGAAATCGCGAGGTACAAATACACTCTTTTAGTTGTCAGTTATATATTATATTATTATTATACTATATTATTATTAAAAAAAAAATCAACATATAAACAGTACAGTGGAGGCTGAGCTAATTTTATACTCAATCCATCACATTTCAGAGGCTGATGATATGTTTTGTATTTAAAATCTTTGCCTGCCATGTAGCCAGTAACTATGGCTGTCACATAAATGTAGTGGAATATTTTCCTCTAAAATGAATTTCAGTGTCTTGCGCAATATTTTGCATGTTGGGTATCCAGTACATGTAAAGCCCTTTTTCCTCTGCACAAAAAAAAAAGTTAACATCTGGGTTTTCAATGTAATGGGAAAGGTCACAATCAGCATTCACACCTGGGTCAAATGACTGCAGCATTTCAAGGTATTTATAGGCTCCAATCAGCATTAATGGAAACACAACACACTGGTGACTGCACTGATTTTAGCCCATTAACTGGTGAGACGCAGTAACGCGCCACCACAGAGTACCATCCGGCTCTGCCTAAGCAGCACTCAAACATCGATCCAAATTAGTCTGCAATGTGTTTGAAAGAGAGATCTATAAAAAGAAGTAACCGCCAGTGAGAGATCTATGAAAAGAAGTGGCCACCATAAAGTTTTCAAGGGCCTCCATGCTGCTTTCTACTCAACTAATCTGTTTTCTGGCCTGTTTGTGACATCAGTCTTAACACGCACAGAAGGGCGTACTTGTCAGGTCTACTGGCAGTGGGAAAGGAGTCCATATTTATCACTCGCGCTAACTTTGGTGGAAAGGGGGGTATTAGTAAATTTAAAGAAACAATGCGGTGCCATATAAGCTTCCCTACATGGTACATGACAGTCTGTGTGCTGGTGCCCCATCATATGCAACTGGTTCCCTTTTTATTTTTTTCAACCCCACCCTTCAGACAGCCAGAGTCCACCACTGTACTGAAATATAATATGTAAACTCATCACTTGTACTACCATATTTTAATTACTGTGTGGACGTTTGGGGCAACACTTAAAAAAGCAACTTAAAACCATTATATATCATGAACACACTGTTTCTAAAGTATAGATCCGGTCAAATTTAAAACTGCAATAATCACGTTTAAAGCGAGAAATAATTCACCTCTTGGCAACGTTCAAAAATGTTTTGTGACCGGGAGGGAGGTTATAATTTCAGACGAGAAATTAATATAAAAAAATCAATGTGAGGAGTCTGTGTGTTTCAGTGTATGCAGTGGGCTTGTGAAATGGGCTGCGTATGAGTTGAAACAAAGCACAAATATAAGTCAATTTAAAATACCACACACAAAAAAAGATATTTCTGTCAGATATATAGATGAGGAAAGGTGTTAGGGAAGTGCATATTTATTTTCTAACACTAGGTGGTACTTGGACTGTAAATAACCTGGGTTTATTACATATTTATTTAACTGAGTGGTGAATAGACTGGGGATAGTTGTATATTAGTTGTAAATAAATTTGGGAATTTGTTGAAATAATACATGAGGTAAAAGAAATGTAAGAAAGGGGGTAGGGACATATATGTAATACTCCTACCTACTCCTTGTCTTGTTTGTTGTTTATTATAATTTTGTTTTTATTTTGGTTTGAATAAAGTCATTCATTCATTCAAAAGTAAAACAAACAAACAAATACTATAAGTTATAAATAGTACTGCTTAAAAACAGTGCTTGACTCCTGTCTGACAGAAACTCTGAAGGCCCCGCCTCCTGAGATAAAATTCCCATGACGTCACTGCGGATCATTGCGGAAGTGAAGAAGGAGACGAAACCCAGACAGAAACCCAAATAAGTTAGTGTGTACGCTTCACTAATACTTACAGGTAAGTTACGGCCTTTTAATTAATCGCTTTAAAATGATCACATTTTTCAAACTACTTCGCTGTGTCTATCGATGTGTTGTGATTTTTGGCTAATGTCTAGCGGCGGCTAGGTAGCTAACGTCAGTTAGCACAAAAACGATGACAGAACAGAAGACAGCTAACAAAGCAAACGCGAGCTAACAGCCGTGTTTAGCGACACAGACACAGGGTTTGGTGTCTAAGCGGGTTAGTAATAGTATGGTGTTGTAAATAAGTGTAAGACAAGAAGTTAAATAGATAATACAGTGACGTTTAAAGCAGCGTGGCTGGGGTAGCTGTGTTAGCTTTCCGTCGCGTCAGGCTAAAGCTAACTGTTTTGAGCTGTTGCACTTCTAATGTTACGTAGTTTTCGTTAGCATGCCATCCTTATGTTTTCGTGTGTTGTTGTATTTGTTTGGGGTTATTTGCAGAGTCATTGTATGGCGATGGGTTGGTCATGCTCACATGATTTAGTGACTCACAGGATCACAGATGGGGGCGAGGTTAGATGGACTCTGTAAGTTAGTGTTGTTGGTATGCTTCCGTGTATATTGAGCTCCTCTTACACTCTGCCATTCACAGATAGACCATCATGTTGCTGGGCGGAGGATTCAAACCAGAGAGGCTAAGAGTCAACCTCAGACTGGTCATTAACCGACTCAAACTCCTTGAGAAGAAGAAAAGTAAGTCCTGGGCTGAATACAAAACCTGTTCCTACCCCAGAATCAATGGGTCCTTGTTTCATTTTTCTGTCCCTCCCAGTAATGACACTTACCTCTTTCTCTCCCATTCACAAATGTGAAATGAAGCTGAGCTTGCTCAAAAGGCAAGGAAGGAGATTGCAGATTACCTGTCATCGGGAAAGGATGAGCGGGCACGGATCCGTGTAGAGCACATTATCAGAGAAGACTACCTGGTGGAAGCCATGGAGATTCTGGAGCTTTACTGTGACCTGCTTCTGGCTCGCTTTGGCCTCATTCAGTCAATGAAGTGAGTAACTTAGCCAACAAGGTGCACCGTAAGCAGTTTTATTGAACACACTGATGAGCAGTGTTCATGCATTTACCATGGGAAATATGGCGGTTTAATAACCTTTCTGTCTGTTACTTGTTTCTATAATTAGGGAACTGGACCCAGGCTTACAGGAGGCCGTGTCCACCCTTATTTGGGCAGCGCCTCGTCTCCAAGCAGAGGTGTCTGAACTACGAAATGTAAGTACTGTCTGGATATAACATAGTGCTGGCGGCAGTGCCAACAATATTGACTAAGCTTTGTCCGTTTACTCCTATTATTTCACTCCTGACAGCTGTGTCTCTAAATGCTTCTATCAGGTATCTGACCAGCTCTGTGCAAAATATAGCAAGGAGTATGGCAAGCTGTGCAGGACAAACCAGATTGGCACAGTCAACGACAGGGTAGGCAATTTTTTCCACTCACTGCCCACAAGTCTGTTGAAGAATGCACAAACCTTTGGCCTAGTGTCTCTTTAGCGGCGTCTAACCAAATATCTGATATGCTTCTAGCTGATGCACAAACTGGGCGTGGAGGCCCCTCCAAAGATTTTGGTGGAGCGCTACCTGATAGAGATCGCCAAGAACTATAATGTCCCGTACGAACCTGACGCCATGGTCCGGGTGAGCACGAGACAATCAGTTATCACTTGTTTTCAAGGATGACGTTATGCATTGTGTTTATTTACTCTCTCATCCACCCCTATCTCTGGGCAGCCTGAGGTGTGTCCTGGAGAGGAGGCAGACCTGATTGACGTGGACATTGACAGGAAGCCTGGAGGAGGAGGTGGAGGTGGTGGAGGCTTTACTGCTCCTGCTGCTGCTATGCCTATGCCCATGCCTATGCCCATGCCCATGCCTATGCCATCAGCTTTCAACTACCCACCTCCCAAAGGAGCCGTAAGATTCCTTTAAAGATCCTATTTTTATTGTTGTAAGTTGTTGTAAGCCAATGTGGGTGAAATTTTGAGTTACGGTACATATTGTCATTTCAACCAACCATGGAGTACAATTACCTGGGATGTTTGATATTATCTTGATGATCATTAAATCCTCAGAGTTAAACAAGCAGTACTTAAGTTATTTCAAACATTTTTATATTACAAAATATCTCTATAAAAAAGCTTTGGCCATTCTTACGACTAGTTTTAAAGGGACATTTCACCCATATCATTAAAAAACTTTAGCTACCAGCCTACTACAACAGACATTAATGGAATTTTGTTTTTGGTGTTTAAAGCATCGAAAAATGAATGTTGGCAAAACTCAACAGCAGCATGTTTGTTTTTTTTCATAAACAACACTGCGGCCCGTTTTTTGTTTCCAACTCATACAGGCCTTACACCACCACAGCTTTTCAAGTGAATTCACTTTCACCAACAACTTTCTAATACCGGAATAAAATCACGAGAGTTTGTCTATGATCTTACTCATTTTGTTCAAGATGGTCATAAATACGGGTGGGCGATATGGCCCTAAAATAACATTCAGATATTTTAAGGTGTTTTTGCGATAACAGTATTCTTGACAATATGACAAATTAGTATAAAAAAGAATCACTTGACAACACTGACTCCCGTGTGTGCACGGCGAGAGAGTGGGAGAGAAACGCTGTGTTGCTTCCAGAGGAGCATAACTCGCAGGAAGTTGCAAAACAGTCTGAGAAGTCTGCAGCTGTTCATGAAATATTAAAGGCGCCCAGGCCTAAGGACGCCACAGTTTATTCAGCACAAAACTATAACAAGATGATATGACACACCCCTAGTCATAAAACTCATTACGGGCTGTTTTATATCAGTCTTTTTCTCGTCTTGTCGTTCTGATAAAATCAAACATGTTTAATAATACAGAACTTTTTGATTTGGCTCATGCAAGTAGTGAAGTTCAATGATGTGAACATTGTCAACAACCGATAAGTGCACTCTCTCCAGCATCAAATGTGAAGCAGCAAACACGGGTAGACAGTGAACAGGGAGGGTACTCCAGGGACCC